ACCGCGTCCCCAGAAGAGGCCTCTGGACCCAGCCTCAAAGCCAGTTCAGTATCTCATTCCTTCTTCCTGTGTCTCCGGCCAGAGGCCACCTGGAGGTCCCTGCCCTGCTCAGGGTTCTGGTTGAGACACTCTGAACTGCAGGCAGCATCTCTCCTGTGCCAGTTGCAGGTGGCCTGAGCTCAGGTGCAGTGAGGTGGGCRCGGGTCATGGATGATCAGTTTCCCATGGCGGCCAGCCATCCACTTCCCTTCCTCTGCAGCCTCCCCAGCCCTCTGTGCCCTCGGCTCCTGCCCTGTCCCTCCCTGGGGGCTGCTTCTTCCTCCTCTTCCCTCAGGTGGCCCCTTGTGAACATCCCAGCAACGAGGCCCTATGACACTGAGCTCGCCACCAGCTCCAACTCTCAGTGAGAGTCTCTTGGGGGAAGTGAGATTGGTCACCAGCTGGGTAGTGGTAGGTCAAGGGGGCAGGGCAGGATCACCAGGAGCCACGGTGTCCTGTCCAGGGCTCTGGGGAGCAGGCTGGATGCCACTCAGTGAGACTCCATGTGCCATGGTAGGTGYAGGCTGCCCACTGCAGTCCCCTGGCTCTTGCTCCTAAGTCTCCACTTGAAAGGAGAAACTCAGAGGATGCTTGTCACATAGGTCCCCCGTCCAGCCAACCTGACAGGGCCATGCCATGATAACCCACCCAGGGACTGGGCAGAGATATAGTCCTGGGTCCCCCTTTGCCTTCCTGGCCCACAGGAGCCCTGCACACCCAAGAAACCCTGAGTTGGCCCAGAGCGCCCAGGTGCGCTCAGCCACAGCCACTCTTCTTGCCCTGGACTGACTGCCACAGGACCCTGACTGCGAGCATGCCCCTGGGGGCCTCTCCTGCCTTCCCAAGGGCAAGGGGGCAACTTCTCCYGGACAAGCACTGGGAACAGAGGGGCTGAGCCACACACCATTGCTCCCCAGCGCAGGAGATCAGCAGGTGGGAGTGGCCTCCCACTGAAATAGTCAGGTGGTGAAGATCACCGCGGGCATTTGGCCACTTGGAGACTGCAAGACTTCGAGAGTCTTGCACCACTATCAGAGACTTCAGAGCCACCTGGGCAGTCAACATTCATGAAGTTGAATTTTGTATTCAACCCGGTGGGTTTTGAGTCATTTTTCTCTGTTGTCCTAGGGATTGAACCCAGGGGTGCTCTACCACCAAGCTGCATCCCGAGCCCTTTGTATTTTTTAATTTTGAGATAGGGTCTAAGTTGCTGAGGCTGGCCTTGAACTTGTGGTCCTCCTGCCTTGGCCTCCGAGTAGCTGGGATCGGAGGTGTGCACCACCCTGTCTGGCTGAGTAATTCTCTCACATGCCCCCTGCACTCTTGCTCCCCGCCCTGAGAGGCAGGTGATACTAATACTGCAATTGTTTACAGATTGGTGAACTGAGGCTCCTTGCCCCTAGGTGCAGGAGGAGACAGCAGGTGAAGGGGTGATGTTAAGGGCAGAACTTCAACCCCAAATCCACCACCTGACACGGTTCCAGAGGGAGGCTGGGCTGAGTGAAGAGCATCCTCAGGCAGCCCCTGGGGCTCAGCAGATACCCTGCTGGGGGTGCGCCAGCYCTGGCCCTGGCCTGGAAGCCATCCTCTCCCACCCCTAGCTGGCTGGGCCTGGGCAGCTCGTGCATCTCTGTGTGCCTCCGTTTCCTGTGTCCCCACTTTCAAGTGGCGCTTGGCTTGTGGTTGATGCCCGGCGAGTACAGGATCCTCCCCCGCGGCACCCCAAGGCTCCCAGACACGGCGGTTCCCCGACTCAYAGAGGGCTCAGCTGAACATGGAGAAGGATCAATATCCGGCCGAGAGCAGGGCTCTGTCTTCTCATTTATCTCCCATCTCGTTCTAGCATCACAGCATGCCAATCAAACCACATGGAAGGTTCGGGGTGACTTGCCACGCTTGCTTATGACCTCCAGCGCTGATATGCCCCCAAGCTGGATGGCTACACCAAATTCTTGGTGCCTCCGCGTCTCCTTACATTTCAGCTCATTAGCTCTGTGTGTGTGTGTGTGTGTGTGTGTGTGTGTGTGTGTGTGTGTGTTCGTTCTCTGTTTCTGGATGAAGGACAGAAGGTTTACAGAGCTGTTCAGCATGTGGCCGTGCATCCCTGTGCCTCCTGACACGTGGCCCTGGGGCCTTCTGGGGCCATGAGCGGTGGCGGGCAGGGGTCCCAGTTGGTAACAGCTGGTCGAGGCTGGGTGCTTCCCTGACACAGCCCCATCCTCCTCGGGGCTCCTGTGAGCTTCCTGCTCAGTCTCCCTTGGCCCTGCTGCAGGCTAATTCACAAGGACAAAAGATATGTAATGACCCCACGTCACAGATCTTCCCTTGGCTCCTTAATTGAATGAGGGAACTGGTAAAATGAGCCATGGAAACCAAACCCGTCCTGGAGTAGAGGAGGAGGAGGAGGGATGTACCAGAGACAGGGATCCTTCTCCCCTGGAGGCTGCCAGTGAAATCTTTCTTGCTTATTCCAAATTTCCTTGCAACCTCCCGCCTTTTGTCCAGAAGARTCTCAAAGAAGCACCATCCTCAGTAACAGTGCGGCTGGGCTGGCGAGGTGGCGGGAGTGTTGCGCAGAGGTGGCTGGGGTGTTGGGTGCCCCAGTGACGTCTTTTGAGTTTGGTTTGCTGGGAGACTTCATGATTAGACTTTTAAAAGCCTCCATTATCCGCTGTCCTAGGCCAGGAAGCCAAGCTCAGAAAAATTAAGCCTCTTCCTTTGGATTTCACTTGTAGTCCTTTATCATAAATCTGTGTGGTTCCTGGGGCCCCACCTGGACCCGCTGTGTGGGAATCCCAGAGCTGGGCTCGCCCAGAGCAGCAACACTGTTCTGAGTAGTGGTAGACCCTATCCTATTGGGAGATGGTATTAAAACCACATCAATCCTTAAAATAGGCCCAGCATAGCCAGCCCTCAGCAGCTGTTGACTGGACACCCTCTGAGTTGGCCTTGCTCTGCAAGACCGGTCCCCCTTCTCCAGAAGTCTTAGGCAAATCAAATATTCAAAAAAAGAGGCTTCCTGCCCTCCTCTTCTTCTGCAGTTTCCAGACTGGAGTCTGAGAGCCCACAAAGTAAATCGGCCTAAGGAGAAGGAGCTGCTCAGAGAACCAAATGGGAAAGCTAGAACCTGGCCCATCTTGGTGGGTAAGCAGCCAGGACCCCACGCTCAGCCCTGCTGGGCTCTGGCAGAAAGGCTGGGCATGAATTGAGCCCGTGCTGCAGACGGGGACGGTGGAACGAGGCCGGGTTTGGGGGCCGGTAAAGGCCGGCCTCCTCGGACAGTGAGGTTGGGGCACTCATGAGGAGAAGGGGCAGGACCAAGAGCCAGGGGTTGGGGGACAGGGAGGGCTTAGCCAGGACACAGGCTACAGGGAACACACCCTAGAACCTCCCGTACCCTGTGGGCATGAGGAGCCAGCACGGGCCTGGCAAGGCAAAGTGGCCATCAGGGGAGGGGACAGAGGTGAGGCCAGAGGACCAGGGTGACCAGGGCTGAGCTGGGCCAGCAGCCAGGTTGGCACCAGGGCTGACCAGTGGTACTGGTGGTGCAGCTCCCAGGGTGGACACAGTTGTGAGCAGGCGTGCTCTTTGCCTTATTGCTCCTGGACTAGTGGCACTCAGGAAGTGTCCCTGGCCATGGGAAGGCTGTTTAGGGAGGACAGTCTGTTTTCCATGTCTCTCTGTTTCCAAGAAAAGGAAAAGCAAACTAAGCTAAATAATAATAATAATAATAATAATAATAATAATAATGTGGCAGGCACCAAAAAATACCATCTTCTCAGGCTTGCTCCTCACCCATCCCCGGGGCTCATGCTGTTTAGCAGAAGACCAGGGACAGCAGTAGCCAGGGAACATGTTGAAGGAACACAGCCATTATGAGGAAATGGGGCCTGGTGTGGACTGTCCCTGGAGGAGTCACTYCCAATACCCCCAGTGGGTGCCAAGAGCTGGAGGGGTCACCTGTAGATACCTTTTTTTTTCTGTACACACATATATAACTATGATAAAGTTTAATTTATAAATTAGGCACAGACAGAGATTAGCAACTAAAAAATACAGCAATGGCTGCATCACGTAAAACAAGGGTCACTTGCACACAAACACTGTGATGCCTCCATAGTCAGCCTGATAAGCAAGACAGCCAGGTGATAACAGGCAGGTAGTGCATACTGTGTGGATACTCTGGACAGAGAGATGATACCTGTTGTAGGCAGGATGGAGCATGTAATCTAAAACTTATGAACTGTTTATTCCTGGAATTTTCCATTTAATAATTGCAGACCCTGGTTGACCTCAGGTAACTGGAAGGTGACATCATGGATAAGGGAAGGCACTGTTGTACTTGAAATCCCCCCCCCCCAAGAGGGCTGCGCAGGACCAAAACTCAGTCTGGACCTGCTGGACAAGAAATGCTGATGTACACTGGGGTTTTTCTCCTCCCAGCCTAGCACAGGCGGAGTGTGCTGTAATCTTACACGCAATTCATGTCTTACACCAACTATTCCCAGCTGCTTTGTTGAGATTCTGATCCCCTCTCTTTGATTTAGTCATTCAGTCTCAGTCCCTCGGTTCCCCAGATCTGAAAAGGCAATCTTTTTAAAGTTAATGAGCTTAAATTTGCTTTTTTAATGTCAGAGACCCACGAGATAATTGGAGACTCGCTGGGATGCAGCAGCTCTGAGCCTCGCCGGCACGGATTCTGTACCAGGCGTTGGCGAGGTCACTGGCCGCAGGCAGGGTCCCTTATCTTTCACACCCCAACAAAAGAACGAAGTTTCCACAACCTGTATGAATCACCCAAGTGAGGAGACATGCGTGGGACATCCCAGAGCCCAGCATCAAGGTTTTTCTTTTTAAAATAAGCCTCAGGTCAGAACAGAGAGGAAGCACAGGGAATCTGACGTCGCCATGGAAACCGGCTGCCCGCCGTGCCTCACCGCCCGGGCTTCTCTGTTTTGTAGGTGGTTTTCAGCAAGTACTGCAACTCGAGCGACATCATGGACCTGTTCTGCATCGCCACGGGCCTGCCGCGGTGAGTGCTGCCAGGGGGCTTGGACGGGCAGCCCCCGCACGGCCGCTCTTCCAAGTCAGCCAGCCAAGCCCCACAGAGGCCGGGCACACCTCTGCCACCGCCCCAGCAGGTGTTGGCTGTGTCCACATGGAGAGGCGTGCCACCGGACCAGACGAGGCACCAGTGCCCTCCCCAGGCCGGTTCCCCTTCCGGTTGTTCACCTGCTGTGGGAGAAAGGAGGGTGGTGTGGGGGGGGGTGTTCCCAGCCCCTCACCCTCCCAGGTGGCCTTTCTGTCCCAGGGGTCAACATTCAGCACAGTGCTCCTCTTGAGGGGGAAAGAAGGTTCCTGCAAGACAACCCTCCTCCTTCCTAGTCCCGCCCGCACTCCCCTTCCCTGCGTGGAATTCAGACTTTCCTGCAGCAGTCAATTAAAAAAGAACACAGGTCCGTGGTTTTCTACATTGACCGCTGCAGGAAAGTCTGAATTCAGAACCAGTTCAGAAGGGTAAGCGGCAGCTCATCCCACTCCTGACAGTCCACACCAYGTGGAGGGACATAGAGTCCTTGGGATTCCCTAGGAGTTATTTTCCTTAATCAAGTTCATACAACAAGCTAGTGAATTTCTAATTATGGGTTGAGCATCTCTAATCCAAAAATCTGAAATCCATAATTCTCCAAAACCTAAACTGCTTTGAGTGCCACTGTGAGGCTGCAGTGACACACAGGGACACTAGACCGCCGTGTCTTCAGGCTGCCTATGGGGAAGCACGTGTTCCTGTTGAGACTTGGGTCCTGTCCCCAGCATAGCGCATTACGTAGACACAAGCTTCACGAAATACAACCAAGTCCAAAATCCAAAATGCTGTGGTCTTCCGCGTTTAGTAAGAGATGCTCGGCCTGCACCCCACCTTTCTGATCATAAAGGGCCATCAGGAGTGGTGCTGGCAGAGTAACCCTCAAGTTAGGGTCAGGGTCAAAGAGGAGGGGTCAGGAGGACAGTGGAAGCTTTCCACAGACAGGTAAGGAGAGGGAGACTCGATGAGGTCCTGGGCCTGAAATTGTGGCAGATGGCCGTTCCTGGGAGCAAAAACAGCTCACCTTTGGGGGTATCTTGGGGTACTGTGTACTAAGCACTGTGCTGAGAAATGTGTGCACGTCATCATTCATCACACCTCTGGTATTCACAGCACCTCTGGCACCTTCATTGCCTGGGATTTAAAAAGTCACAACTGGAGCGGAGAGCCTCAGTAACTTGGTGGTGGTAACACAGCTCTGAGAGGCCTCCAAAGATAGGAGGCTGGAGGAGACTCCCCGTAGCCATATTAGACTGGTGGGCGAGCTCTGTGCAGTTCAGATGGACCTGGAGTAGGAGGGTGAGCCCAAGCCCTCCTCTGCGGACCTGCAGGTCCGTGCAGACCACATGTCAGATCTTTGACCCGTGGTTTTCCAGTCCCTGTCTCTGTAAATTAGATGCGCTCCAGTTCCTGTTCTAAATTATTTAGGACTCAGGTTGCACTCAGCCACCAGCTTCATCCGGGATGGGTCAACGTGTCAAGGACCACCTGCAGCTCCTTGGCCCTCACCAGCTGCCCTTGGGTCGCCTGCCCCTCCTCTCCTTGTGTCCTAGTTCTTTCTGCACCTGTCCGTGGGGGCAGCGGGCAGGTGCCTGACTCTGGGGGAAAAGCTGACATGGGTGTCTTTCAGGAACACAACCATCTCCCTCCTGACCACAGACGACGCCATGGTCTCCATCGACCCCACCATGCCGGCAAATTCAGAACGGTAAGGGGCGGCTCGGCTGGTCTGCAGCTCACTCCTGACCCGGCCGCACCCCGTGAGCCGCGGTTTTAACTGACTGCCGCGGGGAAGCCTGAACTCTCTGCAGGGTGGGAGGGTGGGAGGGAGCGGGACGGGGGCGGGGTGGGGGGATTCTCTTGTTTTCTTGCATGAATCCGTGTTTCCTCCCCGACCGACCGGAGCCTGTGAGGAGGTGTGTGCAGATCGGAAACGGAGGCTCATGTCAGCACTAAGTGGCCGTGCCAGGCCCTGGGGTCCCTGCACTAACTCAGGAGTGGCTCTAGGAAAGTCSTCGAGACCCTGAGCACCGACCTACTCGGGGCCATGCTGGAACGTTCTGGGCACAGAAGGGAGAGGTGGCTGGGGTCTAGAAAGGGAGGAACAGTCGCCTACCGTGCCTCTATGAAAATCTGCAGAACGTGGCCCAAGGAGGACACGGAGCAGGAACCCTCAAGCCAGTGACAGGTCCCTTCTCCAGGTAGCCTGCAAGTCCCCAGTCATCTGCACCTCATTTGCCACCGAGCAAGGCAAAGTCCACACCCTGCCCTCTCCAGGGGTGGGGTGAGTTGGTGAGTCGTTGGTGCAGGCTGCCCCTCAGGGCCGGCTCTGGGCCCCCTGCTCCTCACTGGCCAGCCTCCAAGGACTCATTACAGGTTACGGAGCCTGTTGGTCTGGTCATCAGCGTCTAGCCCAGTTGTCCATGGGCAGCTCTGAGCCCACACAGGAAGCACACACCAGGCAGGCCCTTGCACATCATGACAGTGTCAAGATACTCGGGCTCCAGTGACAGGGTGGGCTGAGCTCTCCATCCGGGCCCCACAGGCCCCCACAGGCATGTGGACCTGAGTGTCCGGCACCTGGTCAGCAAGGTCTCAGTGGACATGGCCAGCACTGTCCCCGTCACCTCAAGGCCTCAGCCGGGCCTCCTCCATCCAGCCATGCCCATCAGCTCTTCTGTCTGGAGGACATCTCTGGTCATTCCTCTTGCTTTGACTCTGAGCTTCAAGACTCCCCAGAGCCACCCACTAACGGACTCCCCAGAGACCCCAGCCAGGCACACACATCTCCGCTGCAGCCCACCTGCCCAGATCCCCTCCCAGGGGAGGGCTGCCAAGCGACCCCTGACCCCGACACCCTGACCCCCTCAGGCCTGAAGTCACCTCAGTGGCGGGGGTCTCGCAGTGCAAGCCGACTGCAAAGCTGCTCTTTTCTCCTGCACTGAGTTCAGCAGGTGTCTGCAGAGGCAGGTGGACTGCACAGGACATAGGGGCAGCACACCTGGGCCAGCCTGCCACCCTGGCCCTGGGGCCTCCTGAATGAGGAAAGCATCAGACACACCAGAAAAAAGCCCTCCAGAGCCTCCACTCTGAACAAGTGCTCGCCCGGCTCAGCTCAGCCCGGCTCTGCTCATGGGATCTGGATAAATGCCTCTCTAATTCAGATGGAGACAGAGATGCTGCGGTGTGAGGACCCTGCCGTCACCCGGACTCAGTCYCCTCCTGGTCTCCGCAGCCTCGGGCTGAGGCACCACCTCGGGCAGGGAGTCTGCTCAGGTGCCTGGTGTCCACACACCTGGATCTTTGAGCTGCATGTTCACAGGGGCTTTTCACGAGATCTTCTCCAGATCCCCAGAGCTCCTGACCGACCTCCATCCTCATCAGGGGGTGGTCCCGCTGCACTGCCCCTGCAGCTGAATGCTCCTTGGCCCTCTCTGTCTCCGTCCCCACCCCTAGACCGTGGTCTCCTGGTCCTCCCCGAGGCCTTCCTCCAGAGTGTGTGGCCAGCTCCCAGCTCAGACCCCGGGTCTCATGGAGGGAGTGTCCTCTGCTCCCCATCGAGGACCCCCACTCCAGTCCTGCTTTCCCAGAAAACTCAGTCCCAAACTCAGCCCTCACCTGCTTACTCCCAGCACAGAGTTCTTGGAGACCTGTGGAGTGCTGTCCAGACCTTGCATTGGGAACACTGGCCCCAGTCCACCTCCATGTCCTTGTCCCCAGCTCAGCGGGCCCCTCCCCTCTGCCTACATCCCTGCACTTCCCCACCCTGTGCTCCCTCTGTGTTCCTCCCCCTCTGCGGGTCCAGAGCCCACCCTTCCTGTGGCTGGGAATCCAGCTGCTGGGATGTTGGGTTCACCCAGGGAGCCTGTGGAGCAGCGTGTGCCATCACCCCACAGCCACAGGCCGGCTGCAGGACCCCAGGATGATTGGCTCCTACTCTTGTTTGGAGCTGGCAAGAAAGCAGACTGACTCCCGCGCCACCCTGGATTCCTAAMGACCAACAGAAACATAAAGACACATCCTTACTCCAGTTGGACAACCCCAGAGCTCTCCCCCCCAGGGAGGGGCCCTGCGCCATGGGAGGAGTGCTCCCCCCCAGCAGGAGCACCCTGGATGCAGTGCTGTCCAGCTCACCCAGGGGTCCTCTTACTCTCGGCCCCCTCTGTTTCTGTCACTGCGGCCTCCGGCCCCTTGGTGAAGGAGAACAGAAGCTGGCATCGCGTGCAGAGACATCAGGGTGGGTGAGAGCTGATGGAGAGGGAGGGCAGAGCAGCCCACACAGACAGAACGCAGGCGCTCCTGCTGGCTCTGGGGTCAGCCACCTGTGAGCAACACAGCTCTCTGCCACACACATGCAGGGTGGCCCAGTGGCCCTCCCACTGCTGGGGTAAATGCCTCTGGGTTCCGGGCTGGCTCCAGGCCTCTTCCTCCAGCTCGCACACCACAGAAGCTCAAGGCAAGCTTATCCTCCAAAGAGGGAGTGGCTTCCCCTGTTGCTGGGGAAGGATGAGGATGAGACTTGACCCAGAACCAGGAGCTTCTCCAGCCCAGAGGCGCTGCAGCTGGCTCAAAGCATCGCTTCTGTGAGAGGATCAGGGAACCAGCAGTCAAGATAATCCCCCAGTGGCAAGAAACGCAGCCCTGGGAGCCTGGCCCCAGCGCCTGGGAGGTCCACAGCTGCCCGGAGTCTCCGTGTCCAGGTCCAAACCCGCCTTCGCCTCTGCGACTGGCCCGTTGTTCTCGTTGCTCAGCTCACCTAAGCCTGTGGGGTGCTTGAGCAGGGCACTGCAGCCACAGAGGGTCTGGACAAGCCTGCCGTACATCAGGGCCACGGGGCATCCTCGGCATCCTGCCCAGAGATGCCCCCTCTGCTCTGTCCCAGCCCCACCAAAGTGCAGTCACCCACCTCAGGCCCTGGGCTCTTCTCTCCTGGTCCTAGTCACCACCCCTGCCACCTCCAGCATTGATTTTAKGGGCCAAGAAGAAGGACAAGGAGGAAAGAAAAGCCTTTGCTCCCTCTCAGGGGAGGGCAGAGGAAGCCCTTCCTGTGTCCACTAGGACCCAGGCTCCCCTGACCACGTTGCCCATGCTGAGTGCCACTCACAGCAGAGAGCTGCAGGAGCAGAAAACAGGGGAAAGGAGGGGAGGGGAGCAGAGGCCGCCACCCCTCTCCTCACGGCCCCTTCACTCCCATCCCCCAGCCCTGAGCAGTGCTGACCCAGGGACTCCACATGGGCCGGCCCTGGCCCCCAGCTTGTCCCCTGTGGCTCTCAGTGAGGTCCCTAACCTCCCCAGGCTTCAAGCTCCGCCTGCCACTCGGACCTCTCTTCACGCCCACGTGGGTTCCGCAAACCCTGCCTATCTGACCTGGGCCAGGCAGCATTTAGGACACAGTCTCTGCCGAGGAAGGAGCCCGCCTTTGGAGAGGCCTCCTGAGGCTGGGAGATGTGCAGGTGTGGACTCACCTCTGGAGGGGACCCGCTCCTGAGAGGGTCGAGCTCCTGTGCCCACGCAGAGTGCCAGCACTGCCTGCTCCTCGGGTGCTGAGACTGAAGGCTAGCCACGCCACACAGGCATCAGGCCAGGTGCTGCTCACRCTGCAGTTTGGAGCCGTGACCCTCGTTTTCTGTGCTGTCCTCTTCCAGAAGTGAGGTGGCTCTATGTGACAGTGACCTTGCTGTCTGTGACAGTGACCTGATGGACCCCTGCAGTCAATAACAGCTGCACGAGACGCCGAGTGTCACTGTGACACAGGCCAGACACGCAGCTCAGGCAATAGGCAGGGAGCCGAGATCGGGGTCCCCGGGAGGGCCAGGAGGCTCCCCGGACAGCAGCCTTCTTGTTTTCTGCTCCTCACATGGCACAGAGAGGGACTTCAGTTCCCTTTGTCCACTTAGGAGGACGAAAATTCCATCCATGGGGCTCCTTCCTCATGACTTCACCCAAACCCGATGACCTCCCAGAGTCCCCACCTCCTGTCACTGTCACCTTGGGGTGAGGACTTCAACGTGGCCTGGGGGCTGGGATTGCCTGTGTTCAGACTGCTGGACGTGCATGTGTCCTCCTCCCCTGGTGGCAGGGTACTCGCAGCTCTGAGCCCTGCGTGGTAGCACCTGCCTGTCAGCCTAGTCTGACCTGCAGTGTCAGTGCCTGGGGGGGAGCCTCTGGGTCCCTGATGTCACCAGCACTGACTGCATGGGCCCCGCAGAGCAGGAAACAAATGAACAAGCAATGAGTGACGTTACAGATGACATCTGCCAGGCCCGGGTCTGACGTTTAATCTAGACCCGTGGTGCCTCAGCTCTCTTGCCAGGCGAGGATGGCACAGTCTGATCTGTGCAGCTGGGCTGCTTGTCAAGGTCACGCCGTCACACCCACCCGCTGTTCCCAGGCCCTTTCAGCCTCCTGCCATCAGGTTTAAATGCTGCTAAACAGCTGGGTAAAAATGGCCTCTCCCCGGGCCGGCTCCTTAGTGTGCTTTTCCAGTCCCTCCTGGCTGGAGTCTGTTCTTTGCCTAGTGTCCTCTGGCTCCAGGTCCTTTCCCAGCCCTTGGCTAAACGTCCCTGCGACGGTGACAGTACACTGTCGTCTGTCACATGTACTGCCGGTGTCATCTGCCCAGCCTCTCTGGGTCTCGTGATCACCGGGGTGACATCACCGTGGAGCTGGTACGTTCACTCTTGTCCACGTGGGGTACCGTTGCTCAGAGATCCCRCTGTGCAGACAGGAGGGAGCCTGCCTGCCTCGACCAGGCGCTGGGGGGTTCAGGCAATGGCGTCCCAACTTGGAACTGCATCCCCCATCAGTAGAGGTTGCGATGTCCACGTTTGTTTCAATGACCAAAAATGAACATTATAAAGAAAGTTGATCACCTGAATATATACTTCAAATGTTCAGAATTTATCTGTATGAGGTGGTTGGAACAGCCAAAGAACCTAATTTTAAAAAACAGCGATGGGTCTGGGATGTAGCTCAGCGGTGGAGCCTGGGCTTAGGGTGCACAAGGCCCTGGGTTCCTTTTTGAGCACACACAAAGCCCTAATCTGCGGATCCCAGTGCTCTAGCGTGCTTATCTCTCATAGCAGATGTGCAGCGCCCTGACGGCTTCTCAGTGTAACTGTCATCTCTTTTGCAGAACTCCCTACAAAGTGAGACCAGTGGCCGTCAAGCAACTGTCTGGTAAGGCCCTGCTATCATTTTTTAAATCAAAAGGAAAAAGAAAGTTGGAGATAAACTACTTAAGTGTGTGCCTGTGCCGTCGCATGCTGTCACAGCATCTGAGACCCTCTACTGCTGTGGAGTCGGCCCATCCAAGTCCCTACCCTGACCCTGAGGACTCAGCAGGTGCCAGGTGACATTCCCCTGTATCTCCAGGAGCCTGGTGCCTGTCCCCCATTGTCCATGGGCGGCAAAGGCAGGCTTCCGACCCACAGGGCTTCTCAGGGTGCCTCAGCCAGTCAGCCGTGGTATTTCGCTACAACTCCATTTCCTTTTAGGTTTTAAAATCACTTTTATTTATGTACTGGTGAAGCGTAATAAAATGGCCCCATTTAAGTGCATAGTTTGATGAGTTTTTAAAACTTTGTATGTCCGTGTCTCCCATCACCAAAAATCAGGCTGCAGAATGTGGACACCACCTGGAAAGGTTCTCTGTGCCCTGCCCCGATCATCTCAGTAGCCACCTGGCCTGTGTTTGGATGCCATCGCTAGGTTGGTCTTGGGAGCTTCAGATAAGAGGCACTGCTAAGAATCTGCCCTCTTTTTGGACTCCGCGTGGTTTTGAGACCCCTCCTGGTACAGTGTGCACAGACGGTTCACTTTTTTTGTTGCTGAGTAGTTTTCCACGCTGTGGGATGCGCCAAGCGTGTTTTCCCTTCGTTCGCGGATGGACGTTGACACTACTTCCTCCTGGGGGCTTTGGGAACAAAGCTGCCCTGGGCGCTCCAGGCAAGCCTTCCTGGGGCACTTGGTAAATGCCCACCATCAGGCTTGCTGGGGTACGTGGAGCGGTGCCCGCTCCGTGAGCACCATCCGCAGGGTCTTTCAAAGTGTGGGGCCACTGCACGCACGTCCTCCCAGTGCTGGGTGTCCCCAGGCTGTTTCTGTTCAGCTGCCTCAGAATTTATTGGCAGATGAAGGTTGAAATATGACCTTGTCATCCTTCTCCTGTCTGTAGGTTTTAGTGAAACCCCCCCTCATCCGGACATCAGTGCCGTCATTAGTCGCCTGACCTGGGGGACATCCTGAGAAATGTGACATTGGGTGATTCTGTTGTACAAACGCCAGAGCAAGCTCATTAAGATGCTGCAGCATGCCGGCCGTGGTGGCGCTCGCCTGGGATCCCAGTGGCTCCCGTGGCTAAGGCAGGAGTTCAAAGCCAGCCTCAGCAAAAGCAAGGCACCAAGTAACTCAATTTAGAGACCCTGTCTCTAAATAAAATACAGAATAGGGCTGGGATGGGGCTCAGTGGTCGAGTGCCCCTGGGTTCAATCCCTGGTACCAAAAAACCAAAAAAAGTGCCACAGCATCATCAGGCCATGCAAGGCCTTGGGCCACCCTCGTACGTGCAGGCCACCTTGACCAAAACACTGCTGTGTGATGCAGGAATGTCATTTGTATCGTCTTCCTTTAAAAATCAGTCTCTGTGACTAGTTATGATTTTATTGGCTTGTGGTTTCCAAGAGCCGGCTTTGGGTTGCATTGGTCGTCTCCATTTCTGTTGTATCGATCCTTCTCTTTCTTATTTACTTCCTTCTACGCTCTCCAGGTATTTTTCCCACCTTTTCTTCTAAAGGTAGAAGCTCTATTGATTTTAGAGCTATGTGATGAGAATGGCGGAAAGCTGAGGATTTCCCTGTGAGCATGATCTCATAAAYGTGCTGGTGTGGCGTCTCATGTTCACTTTACCTGTGGTTTCTCCTCTGACCCACTGGTATTTAGAGGGGTATTGTTTGAACGTGGGGTACTTGAGTACTACCCAGGATCTTCCTCTCGTGGATGTCCAAGTGAATCCCACTGTGGTCAGTGAACGCACTGCCCTGGTCCCGAGGTCATGCCGCTGTGGCCTGCCCAGGCAGCTCCTCCCTGAGCGCCTGAAGGAAGGCCCGCTCCACTGCTGGGCAGGACGTCCTGCGGGTCTGTGGGGCAGGTCGATGGGGGGATCCAGGTCCTCTGGGTCTCTGCTTCCTTGGGGCAGACGGTCTGCGAGCACCAAGAGCAGAGTCTGGGAATGCCCGACCCGGGCTGTGGAATCCTCTCCCTGTCCCCAGCACCTTCGGTTCTCTGCTCCGGGAGAGGAAGGGTCAGCCTCTGTATTCCAGTGGCCTTGCCCTTTGTCCCCGGTGCTCTCAGGCTGTGTGCTTTGCCACCTGTCCTATGTCTCTGTGTGTAGGATTGGAGTGACCTCCATGGGCAGCATCTTCCGTTCTGCATCTCAGCCTTGACCTTGACCTTGACACCTCTAGACCCTTCACACTCAGTGTATCTTCGGGTATTTAAATCTACTGTCTTGTTGCCTGTTTTCTGATTGTCCCATTCATTCTTTTCATGCTCTCCTCTTCTCCTGCCCCTCTGTGAGAGTGAGCAGGTTGAATCGAGGCCCCGCCCCTGGCCTGGATCCATTCTCATGTTCTTCTTCACGTGGACTGTGCTCCCCGGCAGTGAGCACGCCACCAACTCTGCTTTCAGGTGTTCGTCTGCGTCCTTTCTTGGTGTGGATGCAGGTTTGCATGTGAGCCGCCCTCCTCCTCCTGCACTCTGGGCGCCGGGCTCGGCCTCCTCGGGACACACGCCCAGCTCTCGTGGCCTGAGAAGCTTCGGTTTGGAGGTATCCCTGCCACACGAGGTTTTGTACCACAGCTTTGTCTTTTGGCTGGCTGGCTTCTCGCAAGAGCGCTGGGGCCAGAGTCTCGACCTCGTGGTGCTTAAGATTTTCCCTGTCACTGGCGTCTGGGACTTTATTTGGATGGCTTTCATGTGGCCTTCTCTGTGTTTGCCCCCTGGGGTCACTGAGGAGTCTTGGGTTGACGGTTTTCATCAAGTGTGTGCTCTGCTCACTTCCCACCTTCTCTGCTGGGACCCTTGTCCCCTGAGCAGGGGGTGGCCTGCCTGGCCCCACCTCAGGATGGTGCACCTTGTTCCAGTCTCTTTTCTGTTTTAATTTTCTCAGAATTTTTTTTGTTTTGTCTTCAATCTCACTGAATCCTTCCTCTGGGGCATCTAATCCACTGCCAGTCTGGGCTTTTCCCGTCCAGGACTTTGGTTGCTACTCCGTGGATTCTGACTTGAGGGCTTCCCTGTTCCTTGTCACACCCTCATGTCTTTTAGACCTTCCACTGGGGTATGATTCTGTGTTAGTGTCATTGCTGGGCTCGCCCTCTGTCTGCCTGAGGCTCCTTCCCTGGACTGACTCTCCTCCTGGGAACAGGACATAGTTTTCCGATTCTTAAGAACCCGGTGAATCCTGCTGGTGGTGAAAGCTGGGCTGTCAACTGTCTGGATTTTGTTTTCCCCCACTGAAGCCTGTTGGGCCGACAAGAGCTGGGGGATTGCCATCTATCTGCTGATGCCTTCGAGGCCTGTTTCTGAGCTTTGGGATGGCTCCAGGGGCTGTGCCTTGTTCCCACTCCAGCTCTTTGGAGCATAGCCATTTAGGTGCGGTGGAGAAATGCCAGGGGCAGCTCATGTTGTCCTCAAAGGTCATTGTAAGGACTTACACCCTCTATGAGTGACGCAGGGAGCTATGAGAAGGTTTTGAGCCAAGAAATTACRTAACCAGATCTATATGCACTTAACAGACTTGACCTTCACATTATTTATCCACAGCGAGCACGTAGCACTGAAATTACAGTGTATAGGACAGGCCTTCCCCTGGGGAGCAGCAGTGTAGGGCATCTGTGTCCCAGACTCTCAGAGTGCTTGATGTGACCAGGCCACTCTGCGAGGACACCGCCCTGCAGCCCCACGCTGCCTCTGTGGGACGGCACGTCTCCCTGTGGCCAGCTGAGTGCTGAGGTGCCAGCTCTCTTTACCTCCCGTCTCGAGGCCCCATGTGCCCCTGTGTGGAGGAGAAGCCCTCCCAGACCCCCGTCTCAGGCAGAAGCCCCAGCGTCGCATCTCCTCGCCATGTTTGTTCTCTGGGGTTTTGTTGCCCTTTGGTTTGAACCCAGGGGCACCTACCACTGAGCTCCTTCCTAGCCCTTTATTTATTTATCCAGAGGTGCTAGGGACCCAGCCCTTGTCCTTTTACTTTAAGCCAGGGTCTTGCCGACCTGCCCAGGCTGGCCTGGGCCTTGCCATCCTGCTGCCTCGGCTTCCCARGGGCGGGGATCACTGGCGTGTGCATGTCCTGGCGTGTGCCTTGTCCTGGCGTGTGCATGTCTGCCGTGCTCACTGAGGAGAAGGGAGGCAGGCAGCAGAAGGGGCAGCGGAGTGACCCTGAGGCCTAGGAGGCCTCTCCGTCAGTCCTGTGGGAGGAGCAGGCCTGGGCTGGCTGGACAGCAGGCTCTGGGGTGCTCTGAGGAAGGGCAGAGTGCTTCCTGACTGAGTGGAGGAGCATCTGAGTCCACCCCAAGCCCCGAAAGCCTCCACCTGAGGTGGACCAGGCCCAGGGAGGAGGAAGCCCGCCTGGGAATCTGCAGGGCTGCTGGACATGGTGCAGGCGAGGAGCACACAGAGAGGGAGCCTGGTGCTGCCCTTCAGCTGGCATGTGGTGCTGGCAGCTGGCAGCTTGGGGACAGGCGGGAAAAGAGCCAGAAGCGCCAGGAGGCAGCAGCCCGAGAAGAGGGCGGGGCTGAGACACCAGACAGGAGTCGCCTGAGAAGGGCGCCAGGATCCGTCTGGTCCAGAGCAGAGGGACAGACAGCCAAGCCCAGCAGAATGAAGAAACGGGACAGGCCAGCCCGAGCGAAGAGAGACCGGGGAGGTGGCAGCAGTGTTCAGATATTTACAAGAAAGGGGGAATTTTGAGTAGCTTTAGGGCAGCCTGGTCCAGTGGAAGACGGTGGGGTCCTCAAGGAAAAGGACTTAACGAAGCTGGAGCCCATCGTAAGAGGACCAGCAGCCTGAGGGYCGAGCACCCCCACGGAGGCTCTGCCAAAGGCCTGGTGGCCATGTGCCTGTGAGTCACCTGTGCCTGCAGCAGCCCCCCAGGCCCGGGATCCCCAGAGCCCCCGAGAAGT